GTAAAGTTTGAATGAAATGGTAGAGTTGAAAACTTTCAATTCATTGAAACACTCAATTGGATATCACATCGATCATTATTGGAAATCTCCGGCTTCTATTTTATTCAAACTCTTTTGCCTTAATAGTCATTTTCCAGATTACAATGCAAAAAATGAGATTAGATTTTTTTCGGTTAAGTGGAGGAGTCTAACAACTTCCATCTTATCCATTAGATCAATTTGGAGCAGTAAGGAGCCATAGATGTATTTGTACTGCACCCACAACAACTATAAGTATATTCTTGAAAACATCTTGATGGAGTGTGTGTGTGTGGTGCTTCAACTAATTTTATCAGTAAATAAGCTTCTGTTAGACTACAAAAGTTCATCATATTGAAAAGCTAGATACCTTCGAATAGAATGGTGTCCTAAGATTCATTGAGCCAACGATAACTATGTTGATAGAACATTGTGTCCATGCACCTGAACACATTTTTTTCCTGAATAAAAGATATGTATATACAGTGGCGTAGCCATAGAGGGACAAGTGGGGACAGCTGCCCCAACTGAACTTTTAATTTTTTTTAATTTTATATTGAATTTTTTTTTATATTTGTATAATTGCCCCCACTAAAATTTGACAATGCACGTATATATATATATATATATATATATATATATATATATATATAATCAAATGACCATTCACGATATTACACAAAAATGTATATATATAATCTTTCCAAAAAATATGATATATTTTTTTTCTTTCTCAAAATATTATATTCTTTCCCACTTTCCCATAAAAATATAAGATATTCTTTCACATTTTTAATTTTACCACAAACAAATGCGTTGTTATCATCACATTTTCAATCAACATTTTTCTTTTTGCAAGTCTCCTTGATATATATATGGGTTGTGATCATTGAGATGGCTAACAAGTTAGGCTCCTTGATATTTTATACCATTGTTAGATTTGATTTTATTGTAGTGATGTGTAGGTGAGCTGGCTAATAAGTCATGACACGCTACTAATGGCATTGTTCAATATGACATTTATTTATTGTTGTTATATATTTGTATATATGTTGTTGGGGATAATTAACTCCCTCTAATCCACTCAATGGTTGGCTATTGTTGAGAGTTAAATCCCTCCTTCATTACACATGGCGGAAGCATCGTCACATCACATCAACACAAGTATATATGGAGATAACAATCGCACATCCACACACCACACATTATTTTACATGGCTTGCCCAACTCTAAGGTTACATCCATGGGCGAGAGAGAATTCATTATTATGAATCAAGGAATAAAATATACAACCACATGTCAAAACCCACTCATTCACTCATCATCTCTTATGAGGCTACATGTATACACTCGAGAATTACATATACTTTCCATTCTCCTCACAACACTCACCCTTAAACCCCTTACATATTTTCTCTCTTCTCTCTCTTTCTAAACCTCTCATACCCGTATCTATTTATGGAGTCTTCAAACCCAAAATGTTGAAAAAGTATTCCTCAACTTGCCTACAAGAAGTTACCATAATGATCAAAACTTTAAAATTGAAACATAACGGGATACACTTTCTTCTATAACTTTCAACCTTCCAAAACAAAATAGGAAACTAATTTTCTACATAAAAATTTTGAGCCATAAATCAAACAACCTCCACCTTGGCTCAAAATTCAATCTTCATGTGCTTCTCCATACCCCCACCTCGAATAAGGATCTCTTCATAGCTCCACCTTGAACAAGGATCTCTTCATAGCTCTACCTCAATTAAAGATTTCTCCACTTCGAACAAAAGCATTATGATGAACTTGAGAAACACTTTAACAATCTTCACCTTTTCTCAAATTCATCATTCTTCATTTTTTCTTCCATCTTCTCTATCCACCCCGTTGGTGTTCAATTGCTCGCGCATGGCAACCCACTAATCTTCAACTCATCTTCATCAATTGCTTTTCTATATAAAAGGAAAAAACCTCTCATCTTCACACTTCATATTCCCCTTTGCTCTTTATCGGGCTTAGAGTAAACCTCTTCATTCTTCACACCCTTTTCCCCATCTTGAAAACTAGCATTCACTCTTGGCTTGTCCTCAAAACTTGTTCCTCGTGGGTTTTATCTCTACCATCTTTGCCCTATCTTGAAAACGAGCATCCTCTAGCTTGTTCTAAGACTCGTTCTTCATGGGCTTCACACCATCACCTTCTTCATACACATTCGTGTCATCATCAACTCTGATTGAATCTCTATAGCACCTCATGATTATCTTCTGCTCTGATAAACTTCGCAGCAATCTTCTTCTAATGATCTTCAGGACCAATCACAGGCTTTGACCTACCATCGGCTCTGATTCCAGTTGTTAAGGATAATTAACTCCCTCCAACCTACTCATGTAATGTTATGATTTAAGTTATGTGAATTTCATGCTTAAATGGCATGCATAATTGATTTTTTTTTTTTTCCACAATTAATTGATTTGTTGAAATGATACGATAAAGGCGCTAAATGATTATGTTCTTAATTTAAATACGTTGTTATTGAAAATTGTACTAATTGTGAGTATGGAATGTGGTGTGTAAATTTCCTTATTAAGCATGCAAGGTTGTTAAAGTAGACTTATATAATTTTATGATACATTTTATGTTTATGCATTGGGAAAGAAATGAGAAGTTGATTTTAAAGGAAAATAAAATGGGTTTTGGGGAAAAGTTTTTGAAAGGGTTTATGAAAACCCGGCCGCCTAAGAGTTGCTTAAAACTGCGGCGTTAGTGTGGCTTATAGGGAACTTGGGAGATTTTCCTAGCGTAGTTGAGTTAACTGGGCCCCAAATGACGCCTTGGAGTTGCCTTGTGGTCAGGGATAGTTAGCCAATCTTTCTCTTGTGCCGCCATGGAGTTGCCATGGGACGGATTGCACTAACGGTTTGGAAATGATGGTAGAAATGGTTTTTGGAGACATTGCATCCCATTGCACGGCATGGTTCGTTATTACTTGGATTGTTTGTTATTGATATTATGGTTATATTTTCTCCCCGGAATTGTATGATCCCGTTTTCTTTTGCTCTATTCATTGTTTGGAAACATGGGGTCACAAGAAGAGTGCCTTAGGCACCTCTTACTGAGCTTTTGCTCATCCCTTCCTCTTAATATTTTTCAGAACATGGCATGGAGGTGGCAGATGACAATCCACCACAGGCATGAAAGGACTAGAAATGTATTTTGAAATCATTTTGTAAACTTGAGCTCATTTTTGTATAGCACTATGACAAGAATGTATTAAGTTGTTTAGCATGGGTTTGTATTATAAATTTGAGCTTGACTCCACTTTGTTGTAAATTGAACTGGTTATAAAGATTATGTAAAATCCTTATGTAAAAGAAGAAAATGGTGTTGTTTTGTATCATATTTTTGATGTTCATAACCATGCAATGAAGAATGTATTATTTGCATTGTGTGTTGGGGCAGGTTTGATAAATTTTGAGGTCTAAGAATGGCTATTACATTTTAATGCATTAAAGCAGATTGTCGTAGGACCTTTTTTAGCAGAGGTCATGCCAAATTTATTTATTTATTTATTTATTATTATTTTTAAATAATTGGTATCATTTTAGGGTCGTTACAAACTTGGTATCAAAGTGATGGTTCAAAAACCCTTAGGACGACGGGTAGAGGCCTACCTAAGGTTGTGTGGGAAGTTATTTGTACATCTATGTGGCTATTTGTTAAAATGTTTTGCTATGTGAAAAACATGCTTAACTGTTTACTTGCTTACGTGCTTACGTGTTTAAATGCTTATATTAATGTGTTCATTGCATAGTCTTGCATGCTAAGTGTTTATCTAGTATCATTTTTTGTTAAGTTGTTCACAGTTAGACCTTAGTGTTATCGTTATTGAGCCATTTTTTTTTTTTTTGTTTTATAGCACGATGCCACCACGAAAAGAACCAAGATAAGTTGGCCCTAGGCCGACAAGGGGTGATGTTAGTGAAAGTTCTAGCTCTAATCCGGCAGAGCAAGTTGAAGATGATACATTTCTTAGGGATTTGATTACCCCTAGAGGTGTTCTTACAAGAAGGGACAATGTTGAAGCGGGTGAAGGTTCAGCTGAGTTGGCGCTGAACCGTCTGTTGCAGAATGCTTTGAGGGCAACAATTACTTCTCTTCCGCAGCCAGTACCACAACCAATAGTTCAAGTTGAGGAGACGTCAGCACAAAAATGTCTTAAGTTGATTGCGGGGTTTTCGAAGTTGATGTCGATGATGTTTGAGGGTGGAGCGGACACGATAGAAGTGGACGACTACATGGACCAAGTGGAAACCCACTTGACTTCTATGAATGTGACGGATGATCATGCAAAAATCAACCTAGCCACTAACAAGTTTTCAAAAGATGCTAAGCTATGGTGGAAGTCAGTCACTAATCAGCATAAGGTTGAGGATATAAGTTGGGAGATATTTAAAGAGCTGTTTTATGAAAAATATTTTCTGATTACCAAAAGGTGGGAACTAAGGAAGTAGTTTGATGATCTCATCTAAGGTAATATGTCGGTGACGGAGTATGAGAACAAGTTTACCTTTCTTTCTCGCTTTGCTCTAGAGATAATGAGAAATGAAGTTGATAAGACTTAGAAGTTTGTTTTCGGTCTCCATTACCAAATAAGACTGTTAATAACGGCCTAGTATTTCAAGGTGTACTCGGAGGCAATGGAAAGGGCATTGATGCTTGAGGTGGAAGCTAAGGACAGAAATGCAGGAAAGGAACAGTGGAAGCAAAAGAGGAATGTAGGACCATCTTCGAAAGAGCAGTCATAGAAGAGGAACAGGGGTGGTCCGTCTCAGTCTCAGGGGTAGCAGTCGGCACGATCTGCTCCTACTACCCCTATGCCAGTAGGGTCTGCCAGGAGTGGTGTTATCTATTAACGCTGTAATCAGCCGGGCCACTACAAGACAGAGTGTCCACAGACGTCGGTGCCACTACAAGACATAGTGTCCATAGATGTCGGTTAATTCTGGGGTTTGCTTTAGTTGTGGCCAACAGGGCTACAGGGATAAAGAATGTTTGAATCGGGGAGCAGGCACCGGTAGTGGCAGAGGGTTACAGCAGAGGCCGCCACGGTCGGCTACAACTCAGTCAGATTTTAGACCACCGCCACCACCACAGCCTGCTATATCTTCTCAGGGTTCACTGCCAGCTAAGAGAGATACTCCTACTATGTCAATGCAGCAGTTAGGTTAACAGGTTGGCAGTTCCTAGGCACAGACACCGTAGGGACGTGTCTTTGCACTTACCCAGCCTGATGCATCTTCTAGACCATCAGTTCTCTAAGGTATCTTTCTAGTATTTGGTTCTTGGGCTCGTGTTTTGTTTAACTCTGGTGCATTTCATTCCTTCATTTTGTCATCATTTGCACTTGCATCGAGGTTAGAGGTCAGTTTCATTGATCATACGTTGTGTGTTGATATGCCAGTTGGGATTTCAGTGTCTTTGAGCAGAGTTTTGAGGGATTGTTCCATCGTGATAGCTGTACGGAATTTTATGTTTGATCTATTCCTCTTTGAGATGACTGGCTTTGATGTCATTCACGGGATGGATTGGTTTGCTTCATTTCATGCCACAATTGATTGTTTCGGAGGAAGAGTCACAGTTTGCACTCCCGAGGGGGATTGTTTCTTTTACGTGGGAGATCGGAGTGATTCCCATACTCTATCATTGTACAAGATTCGTAGACGAGGTCGTGGTAACTACTTCTTGGCTAGTCTTTTAGCCGAAGAAGATGGTGTTGCAGAAGGGGTTTATTCGGCAGTTGTTCGTGATTTTCTGGATGTGTTTCTGGAGGATTTGACAGAGTTGCCTCCACATCGAGAAGTGTTTACTATTGATCTGATGCTCAGTACCGCGCCGATTTCTATGGCACCGTATCATATGGCACCAGTTAAGTTGGAAGAATTGAAGAGGCAGCTTGATGATTTGAGGATAAAATGTTTCATCCGACCGAGTGTGTCACTGTGGGGCACACCTGTCTTATTTGCTAAGAAGAAAGATGGTTCTCTGAAGTTGTGCATTGATTACTGGAAGTTGAATTATGCCACTATCAAGAGCAAGTATCCTTTGCCAAGGATAGATGATTTGTTTGATCAGTTGAGGGGAGCCAATTGTTTTTTGAAGATTGACTTGAGGTTAGGCTACTATTAGTTACGGGTTAGGGATGAGGATATCCTAAAGACGGTGTTTCGTACTTGGTATGGATATTATGAGTTCCTTGTTATGCCCTTTGGCTTGACTAATGCGCCAACGACATTCATAGACTTGATGAACCACATCTTTTACGATTACTTGGACCAGTTTGTGGTAGTTTTCGTGGATGACATTCTTGTGCATTCACGGACTCAGGAGGAGCACGAGATCCATTTGAGTATTGTATTGTAGATTTTACGAGAGCACTATTTGTATGCCAAATATGAAAAGTGTGAGTTTTGGCTACAAGAGGTGAAATTTTTGGGGCATGTTATCTCGGAAGGTAGTGTGTTAGTGGATCTATCGAAGATAGAAGCAGTTTTGAATTGGGAGCAACCCAAGAATGTTTTTGAGATCTGGAGTTTTCTTGGCCTAACATGTTATTATTATAGATTTGTGAAGGATTTTTCCCGTTTAGCAGCATCTATGACTCGCTTGACCCGGAAGGTGATCAAGTTTACATGAAATAAAGCCTGTGAGTCATCCTTTCAAGAGTTAAAGACAAGATTGACCACAGCTCCAGTATTGGTGACACCCAAACATGGCTTGGGTTATGTGATCTATTATGACGCTTCACGTGATGGTTTGGGATGTGTGTTGATGCAGGATGGTAAAGTTGTGGCTTATAGGTCTCAACAGTTGAAGACTCATGAGTACATGCAACTATCCTACTCATGATCTGGAATTAGCGGCAGTTGTATTTGCCTTGAAGTGTTGGAGACACTTTTTGTATGGTGAGAGATTCGAGGTGTTCTCGGATCACAAGAGTCTCAAGTATTTTTTCTCCCAAAAAAACTTGAACAACAGACAGAGGCGATGGGTTGAATTCTCGGAGGACTACATCTTTGAATTACAATATCATCTGGGCAAGGCAAATGTGGTAGCTAATGCCTTAAGCCGGAAATCTCGAGGGACTTTGGCCGGTTTAGCCATTCGGAAGTGGAAGATACTTGAGGATTTGGCAGAAATGTGATTGTTTTGTTTTGATGATGATGTTGACAATGAGTCAGCATTCTTGTTTAGTCTCGTGGCTCAGCCAACTCTTGTCAGGAGAGTGATTGGGTCATAGAGGTAAGATCTGGATTTAGATGTTATTCACATTTTGATTTCTGGTGGTGAGACAGTAAAGGATTGGACTTTGCATACAGATGGAGGTTTACGGTTCAGGGGTTTGTTAGTCATTCCCACAGTTTGTCGTGATGACATTTTACGTAGGGGTGACAATTTTTACCGCCCCGCCGGTGCTCCGCCCCGTCCCGCCCCTTCAATAATGGGTATGAGAACAATTTTTATACCGTTGGGGCGGGTATGGATATATTTTTGTACCCGTAGAGGGTCATGGGGCGGGAACGGGTTCTGATTCATATCCGCCCCGCCCCGCCCCGCTAAATATATAACTATATATATATATATATTATATAATATTAATAACTTATAATCAATTTATATAATATAACAACTCTACAAGTTACACAACCCTAACTTTTTTGTTTCTCTTTATCAGGTATTCCGTCCTTCTCTCTCTCATGACTTTTTTTGTTTCTTCATACTCTAATATTATTTCGTTGATATCATGTATGAATAGTATGATTATGTCTCTATGTTTGTGGTTCTAATATCGTACTTGGTCTTGATTTTTAAGGTTTTTGATTTCTGTAAATCTTTTTGTTTTTTTGATGTAGTCTATGATTTAAGTTATATATATATATATATATATATATATATATATATATATATATATTCTTTCAGTGGATATATATATTTATGTTTATTATATATATATTTTATCATACCCACTTGTGCATTGGAGTCTGATAACGTTCCTTTAGAACAGATAGCTTGAGTTCGAGATAGAACGACGATGAAAGCTTGAACTCCTCAGACTGGACTATTACAAATTTGAATACTAGTTGAGAAGGTAATTTTTTTTTCTTTTTTTTTTCGTCTCTCCTATGCAATAATGTTTCAGCTGTTTTGGATTTTACATTTTTTGATTGATTAATCTATATAAAACTACTTTTTTTTCGTTTACGTGATAAAGGGTTGTGGGATGACCCACTTGGGAATTAAAATTTTTTTTTTTTCATTTTTATATTTTAAAAAACCAAGCTTTTTTGTTTTATTCAATTATATTGGCACTTCTCATTCCCCTTTATCATGTTCATTTGTCAGTTTGATTATCCATTAAAAGTGAACCTTTGAATTAATTACTTCTATATTTTTTTTATCCAGCAAGTGGTTGATATAATGTCCCAGCCAACTCAAAATATGGAAAGTGTGTCATCTACATCAACTACATAACCTACAAGTTTTGATGCACCAATTGAAATCAATTCTGAATCAGCACCCACTCCAAGTTTAGGGGTCACAGGACTCGCAACATCACATGCGAGGAAGAGAAAATTGACTTCAAAAGTTTGGAAGGATTTTGAAAATGTGATATTGGATGGGCCAAATGGGGGGTCTTTTGCTATTTGTCATCATTATAAGAAGAAGCTTGTTGCTGAACCTTCATCTGGTACTAGTCATTTAAAACAACATTTAAAGAGGTGTGTGAAGTGAACTAATACTGATATACGTCAAAAAATGATTGCACGTTCTCCAAATGTTGATGGGTCAATGCAATTTGGCAATTTTACATTTACCCAAGAAGTTTCAAGGAATGAACTTGCTAATGCAATTGTTTTGCATGAGTATCCTCTTAGTATTGTTGAGCATATTGGATTTAGAAGGTTTGTTAGCAGCCTCCAGCCCGGCTTCACAATGATGACTCGGAATACAATCAGGAGTGATATTATGAAGCTTTATCAGTCGGAGAAAGTGAAAGCTTATAGGTTGTTTGACAAACTTGAGAGCCGAGTTGCTATCACGACTGATATGTGGTCTTTTAGACAGAAAAGAGGTTACATGTCAATCACTGCTCACTATGTTGATGAATTTTGGCGCTTGCAAAATATGATTATTGGGTAAGTATTTAATCTTTATTTATTTGTTTTGTTTCAATTACATGATATCTCAAAAGTTGGTTGTCCATCAGTGACTAACTTTTATATTTAATTCATGAATACTTTCAGGTTTGTTTATGTGCCTTCTCCACATACAAGTGAGATTCTCTATGATGCACTTATGAATTGCTTCTTGGATTGGAACTTGGATAGAAAGATATCTACTATTACGGTAAATAATTGTACAACCAATGATGCATTGATTCAGGGTCTTTCGAACAAGTTGTCTATTCGTAGTAAGTCACTTCTCTTGGATGGTAAAATTTTTCATATGTGTTGTGTTGCACATATATTAAACTTGATTGTGAAGGATGGTCTAGATATAATTGGAGGTGCAATTGGGAAAATTCGTGATAGTGTTCACTTTTGGACGGCTAGCCAAGCTAGAGAAGAAAAATTTGTGGAGGCAGCCAGTCAATTAAAAAATCCATGCCATAAAAAACTATCTCTTGATTGCAAAACTAGATGGAATTCTACATATTTGATGCTTGAAACAGCTATATGTTATAAGGATGTGTTTCCACGATTGAAACAACGTGAGAGACTTTATACATCTTTGCCATTGGAGGAGGAATGGAGCTTAGCACAAGAAATTTGTCGGAGATTGGAACTATTTTATTCTATTACTGAAATTTTCTCTGGGACTAGATTTGTCACCACAAATTGTCTCTTTCCAAAAATTTGTGAGGTAAAATTGGCATTGCGTAGTTGGTGCAATTGTGAGAACGAGGTGGTAAAAAAAATGGCAGCAAGTATGATAGAGAAATTTGATAAGTATTGGAGTGAGTGCCATCTTGTTGCAGGAATAGCAATATTGTTAGACCCAAGGCATAAAATGACCTTTTTGCAGCATGTTCTTCAGAGGATACATGAGGACAAATCTTTCTCTCAAAAAGATCGTGTATGCCAAGCATGTTATGATTTACTTCAAGAGTATCAAGATAGAAGTAAGGAGGGAACTAGTCTAAGTGAAGATCTAAGGGGATTGGCTGCATCTTTAAGCTCTACAAGTAAAGAATGGGACATTTATGCTGAGTATGATATAATTGTTAGTGATTTGTCAAGGATTGGGAATGTGAAATCAGTGTTAGACCATTACTTAGATGAACCCGTCTTGCCACGCACCATGGATTTTAACATTTTAAATTGGTGGGATGCAAATAAAAGTATCCTACATTGCAGCTGATGGCTCTAGACATCTTGGCTATTCCAGTATCAACTATTGCATCTGAATCAGCATTTAGTATAAGTGGTAGGTTGGTGAGTCCACATCGCAGTCGACTTAGTCCTGGCCTTATAGAGGCTTTGATGTGTTCTCAATCTTGGTTGTGGAATGATCTAGAAGGTAATGAAATTTTAAATATGCTTTTATATTGAATGTCCCATTTAGTTTTTTTCTTTTTCATTTTTTTTTTTTTTAAATTTTACACTGTTTTGCAGCAAATGCATCGGCGTCAACTCTTTCTACTGGAATCTCTCGGTTAACAATCTGTGATGAAGAAAAAGATTAAAAGGCTTCAAGGTATAGTGTTTTTTTTTTTTTTTTTTTTTTTTTTTCTTTTTTCCTTCCTCCTCCTTTTTGCAGTTTAGTAATATTTACTATTGTTAAATCAATGTATAGTTTTTTGGACAATTAGTCACCATCAATTACTAAAAGAAGATCTGTTTTGATCTCATCTGATATTGTTATAGTACATGAGTTATGCAAGTATTAAATTAAAATTTAGTGTGCTAATTAGTACTACTATACTTTGATTTATCTTGTATTATCCAGACTTAGGAGAGTGCAGTGTTATAGTTGATAGTTACAGAAGATATTGAGCATGAAAAAGATGCAGAAATTTGTGTGGAACACCAGACCTTATCAAGTAGTAGTAGACACCAATCTGTCTCTATAGGAGCAGCGGTAAGTCTCTTTCATTGGCTTTCTTTTTCTCTCTCAACATCAGTAGCGGCTTGAATGAAGCATTTTAGTGAAGCTGTTTGTGCATATGTGCTAATTAATGAACAGAGAGGCAAAGGGTCACGAATTGTAACGAACATTTTTATTTTTTATTGAAAAGGTACAACTGGTACAAGCTAGCAATTTAGCACGCCGGTGTTGAACATAAGATTGTTGTTTTTCAAGACTGCTTGATGATCATTGGAATTATAGTTTTCATATAAATTTTATTTTCTTCAATTTGTTGATCATTTTTTTATGTATTAAATGATTCATTGGTTCATAATTTTTAGATTTTGATTAATTCATGAACACTGTGGAAGACATGGGAGATTGCAAATGCTAATAGATTATTTAAGGGATTTAAATCAATTTTTGTGTTTTTGTTATCTTTTGTTAATTTTAGACTTCAATTTTGAATAATTTGGGATGTAAACTTGCTTTTGTTTTGGTTATGGTGGAAAGTTGGAGCTTAGAACTTGTTATGATTTGGTTGTATTAAACCCTTATTTTTGTTGATTATGTTCTTTGAATTATGCTACGAGCATGCTATTTATTTATTTATTTTTATTGGGATTCATATATGTTATGCCATTTCCAGGCCTTTTGTATTAAAACATAGTGGTGGCAATTTTTATCGCCCCGCCGGGGCTCCGCCCCGTCCCGCCCCATCCCGCCCCTTCAACAATGGATATGAGAACAATTTGTATACCATTGGGGCAGGGATGGAT